TCCTGATAGCCCAATAAGCGGCGAGGAGCGAACGATCGATTTTCGATTTTTCCCCATTTGAAGCTATGGTAAAGAATCGATTAATGAAGTTTCGTTGCGATCATCCTCTTCATCGATATTTGGACCACATTTTGCAATTTGGAACTATAAATTCTAGCCCGGTTAAAAAACGACGTATGTGCCATTCGTTTTCCTATGTCCATAAGCGTTTTTCCCGAAGAGCCAGAATTTATAGTTCCAAATTGCAAAATGCAGTCCATTTTTCCTTGGGTTTAAATGGCAGACCAATCGATGTATCGCTAAGCACGCCACGCCACCATACCCGATGGCGATATCGTTAACCTATTTCGATATGATTTTCTGTATTAAACTGTCAGTCTTTGCGGGAGCCCTATTTCTGATTACAATTTCGCACTGAATTCACGGTCAGAAGCCTTCACGTTACTGTTATGTCTGAACTTTTCACAGCTTCTGTATAAACATTTCTCAGCCACGCACTTGTAATATTTGTATAGTTTAGAAAAAGTAAGGGGGAAAATGTTTGTTGTAATGCGTCCGGCTGCAAGACTTCGCTGTCTTTCCTATATTTTTTACATCTTCTGTTCAAATATTTCGCAATTACATACTTCTAATAAAATTTTGGGGAAAATTGTTTGTTGTTGTTATACATGACATGCGTCCACCCACGCTTACAGCGACTTAATTTTTTACTGGTTCTCAGTTAAGAGGGCCGAGTCAGTACCCGGTGCAAATTTTTGGAACGAATATTCATCCCCCGCAAGACGTATCCTTCAACCAATAATTGCTGAACATCACCAACCATCTTAATTATACCATTTTCTTTTAAAGTGGTGTTTGAATATTTTGTCAGTGTTATGTCGACAAAATATGGTTTCTTCTAGTAAATCCGCGCGGATTGACGCAACATCAGTTTTTCCGACTTAAACTGCGTCGATTTGCTATTGTTTAGTTAAACCCTCTATGCCATTAATTAATTTTGGATCTCAGATTCTGGATTCAGCTTAGAAGCAGACGGACGAACTCTGACGTCAATACAGTGATGCAATATGCAAAGGTACCACTCAAGTCTGCAAAATCTCTAATATCTCTCGATCCTAGGATTCCAGGCTCTCAATGTACACACCTCGGAAGTGGTGTTCATAAACCTTACTAGGTCCGGCACGAAGAAATTACGCATTTTCAACAACTAAAGCGCGCACCATAGAGAACGACAAGTGCTTGAAGTATTCCTACCGTCTAGTAGGCGCTTATGTGCGTTTCGCACCGACCGCACTGTTTGGCGCTATTCGTTGAACTCTAAGTCAGTGTTTTTCAGCATGTTAATACCATTAAGTTGTGCAAGCTTTTAATGGATTACTGTCATTTAAAATGGGGGGGGGACAAAAAAAACATGAGATCTAATTAATTTTCATTGGTTTCTTCACAAGCGGTTAACACCGAACACAGTGCCTCCGTCTCTTTCCAAATTGCCATGGTTTGTTAGTCGCTGGAAACTTGGAAACAACGGCACTGGTCATTGTTTACATTTGAGGAGGCAGACCTCTAGGTTTTGCACGTCGAAAGTAATAACGCCGTATCTCTGTTTAAAACGTTTTCAATTTTTACTGGAAAGTAACGTTTTACAAGAAAACCAACAAATCTTCATCCTTTATTTTTATACTCAATTCCGGCGTACCATCAGAAGCACATAATGAAAAAATGAAGCCGTGTGGTCATTGGATCTTCTTGTAATAGCGCTATTTGTGTGGAAGAAAATATAAAATTTAAAATCGAGTCACGGCGCTTTCGGATCTGAATCGCGCATAAAATTCCCTGAAAAATTCTAAGAGTAGCATCTAGAGACTTCCTTGACAATTTGTATTTCATCGAAGGAAATTTGGCAATTTTTAAGGACGCAAACGGCGTCTCTCCTTACGGTAACGCTGTTTCACTGTGAATGAAGGCGGAACCTTTTTCTGAAGCTTCTTACCTGAATGATATTACCCGATGCATTGTTAGACATCCGATTCCGTGACATATGTCTTCTTGCCAATCCAATAGAGCTGCTGGGCTGCGTCCACTGACCACTTTGCGATTCGACGCCTCGAAGCGCTTCGCTCTTCGGCGTGGTGCATTCCTCGTTACTCCAATGATTTTAGCTTATAGAGTACTTCTTAACTTTTTAACTCGTCAATACTCTCGCCAACGAAATTGGAAATTTATGCTTTTCAGGATTCTAAAAACGGAACACATATTTTCCGGAACGAATCCCAACCTGGATTTTCCAGGTACATATTCGGACCCTGTCACGGAGACATAAAAGTACATGCACCTATGCACTACTCTACTGTATACTGCACGGGAAGGGGGGGCGGGGTGTGCAACTACTTTTGAAGTTTCTTGCCCTAATTTTACAATCAAACGCTCAGGAAACTCAGATTTCTGGAGTACTCGAAGCTCTCTTTTGGTGCGTAAACGCAGTATACCGCCTTTGCGATCGTTTCGACCCCGTACTCGATACAACGTATCGAGTGCCTGAGTTACTCACCGGAAAGTGACGCACACTGTAACGAAATGGGCAAAAGGTCGGACATGGAGGTGTCGCTAATTTTGGATCCGGAGTGGGCATGAAGTGTTCCTAAGGGTTCATACTATACGAATCTAGCATGTATTTTCAATTTTTTTCCTCCAATTTTTTCCCAGAGCTCCTCAAACGTGGCAGATTCCGCTGTTCCTAAAATTGTTGCACTTTGTCAAAATCTTTTCGACCCTTGTATTTTGTTGTGACGTTATTACATGTAAATTTTGATGCCTGAAACTTATAACAACACCCTAAAACATGCGTTTCCGTGTGAACATCGGCCAAATTAGGGTCAAAATCAGATTCTGCTATGAAAATGCTTTGGGAACATTAAGTTTTGACCTGAAATTCCATAAAGATCGAAGCATGTAGCGGAAAGAAGTTGCGGAGGAAGTCCATGACCGGGCAATCCTATGTTTCGTTAACCGTGCGGCGCTCAGATTCTCTGAAAAATTTACAATACATTTACGAACGATTTTAAATGAAATCACGGAAAATTTCGTCGCGATATCAAATTTAGTCCTATTTTCCTTTTTTCTTTTCACCGAAAAAAAACCATGGTCCCTTATTCTACATCTTAGCTATTCGCATAGTTTTTTTTGTTTCCTGTGGTGAAAATTAGATGGGAGTCATAAATAATGACGCATCGTCTAAGTGTCGCAGCGATTATAGCGTTCTTCCCACCCGCCAGAGTCAAGACATCTTCGCAGTTTGACGCGCCTTCAATCCGGCGAAGCTGCAACATGCTTACAGCCGTGGTCAAATAGTTGTATGTCACGCCTGCCGTAAACGAACTCAAATATAGATGGTTCCACGCGAAAAGGAACTTATTTCCCTCGATTGCAACGTTGCAAACCACAGTTAATGGTTCAATTTGAATCAATTTTTTTTTAAAAGATACGCTCAGATTTTCTGAAAAATTTACTATAATTTTATGATCGATTTTAAAAGAAATCACGGGAAAATTCGTCGCGAAATTATATTTAGTCCTATTTTCCTTTTTTTTTTTTTACCAAAAAACAACCATGGTCCCTGATGCTATATCTTAGCTGTAGGATAGGTATTTTGGTTTCTAATGGTAAAAATTAGACGAGAGTCATAAATAATGACGCATCCTCTATTTGTCGCAGCGATTTTAGCGTTCGTCCCACCCGCCAGGGTCGGCAGGGCGGTCAAGACATCTTCGCAGTTTGACGCGCCTTCACGCGCGAAGCTGCAACTCTCCTACAGCCGTGGTCAAATAGTTGTTTGTCACGCCTGCCGTAAACGAACTCAAATATCGATGGTTCCCCGCGAAAAGGAGCTTTTTTACCTCGATTGCAACGCTGCGAACTACAGTTAATGCTTGAATTTGAGTCAATATTTTTTAATAAACGGCATGACGGGCGGGCTCGCTCAGAATTCTTGCGATCTTGTAAAAAGGTTACTAATGCATCAATCTCTAAGGTCGATTGATTTCCTTCATCGTCTGTATTTTCCTATTATATCCCAGAGCTGACGTGCTCCTTTCTTTAGCTTTTTTAAATACTTTTAATACCGTGCCCCGCTTATTTAAAACATGCATATATAAGAAAAGTAAATGAACTGATTGGAGGATGGCTGAACAGTTAAGCAATCCTCGAATGTGAATTTCACTCCTCCGTTTTTTTAAAAAGCTAATTCCGAAGATCCCTAGCCCTTGGCTACATTTTGGCCCCGTTGGAGCCCCTGATAAAGAAGCGAGGGACCCGTATGTGCAATCTCTGATGAGCCGTGAGACTTATTAGACCATGTGCTAACCGTGGCTCATACAGAAATCCTTTTGCACATACAGAAACCATTTTACCCTTCTCTCCCTCGTACACCACACCTCAGTCCGGAGACCGAGGCAGTATCCATTGTTCCTCGCGAGCGACCCGACCCCAAACGTATTTTATCGTAGAGAAAGAAACAAAGCAGGAAAATTTACCAAATTGTAAGCACTTTTGTGCAAGAATCACAGAAATGACTTCAAACTAATTTTAAGGGGGGTTTCGGACCCCCAAATTCGCCAGTTTAAAGGTCATACGATTTTCCCGCGATTTGAGCCAATTTCACCTTACTTTGCCTCAACATTATCTTGGTATGTGCAAAATTAGTTCAAAATTGCGTTTTGAAGTCCCCAAATTTCGGGTAAAATTCGAGAAACAAAATTTAAGATCATTCAGTTCAACAGTTTACATTTCGCTTTTTAGAGATTAAGGCCGAGTGGAATCCGTCTCTGCAGATCCACTCGTCAGTTGCAAGAACATTTGTCGCCACCGCCGGGATTCGAATCCGGGACCTATTCAACCACAGTCAGACGCGCTGACCACGAGGCTAACCTGGCCGGTCGGAATTTCTTATTTTCTCCATACCATACGGTACCCCTAAATATTTCGCTCGTTCGCAAATTTTGCTCACAATATTCGAAATTTTTTCTGTTCAGGATTCTACATGGATCAATCCGAATTCAAATGCACATCCGAAGGAGGACTTAGCGCTCCTGAAGACAGGATCCCAGAGATTTCTATAGGCAGAATAAGTGTGAAGGATCCACAGGACATTATCCCGGAGGTTGGTAACACTATATTCATAAAGTGTGAGTTAACTGAACCGGAAGCAGAATCTGCATTTGACACGGAATTTGCCTCTCATACACCTTGGCATGTGAAAACTGAAATTGGAACTTCTCCAAGTGAAGAAAAAAAGTCTGTTGAACACTTCAATAGCGCCTCGTGTTCCTCCAATTCTCTCATCGGCCATTCCATCAGGATAAAATCGGAAGGAGACAATGAAAATGAAAATTGGATCGACCAGTTACATACCAGTATTGAGATTAAAAACGAAGACCCTCTTAAGACTGACAGCTATGAATGCACTTACGTAAAGAAAGATAAAGAACAAGATTTTGAAAATGAGATTCAAAATCATATGCCAACCACAACATGCAAACCGTTCAGTTGCAGTCGTTGCTCGGCCCGTTTTGCTATAAAAGGTACTTTAAAAACACACATGCGAACACATACCGGTGAGAAACCATTTGCTTGCAGAAATTGCTCGGCTTGTTTCGCTATAAAAGGAAATTTAATACAACACATGCGAACACATACCGGTGAGAAACCATTTACTTGCAGCGAGTGCTCGGCCCCTTTTGCTCAGAAACAACATTTAAAACGCCACATGCGAACACATACCGGTGAGAAACCATTTACTTGCAGCCAGTGCTCGGCTTGTTTCGCTCAAAAAGGAGATTTAAAACAACACATGCGAACACATACCGGTGAGAAACCATTTACTTGCAGCGAGTGCTCGGCCCCTTTTGCTCAGAAACAACATTTAAAACGCCACATGCGAACACATACCGGTGAGAAACCATTTACTTGCAGCCAGTGCTCGGCTTGTTTTGCTCTAAAAGAAAATTTAATACACCACATACGAACACATACCGGTGAAAAACCATTTACTTGCAGCCATTGCTCGGCTTGTTTCCCTCTAAAAAGAACTTTACAACGGCACGTGCGAACCCATACCGGTGAGAAACCATTCACTTGCAGCCAGTGCTCGGCTTGTTTCCCTCTAAAAAGAACTTTACAACGGCACATGCGAACACATACCGGTGAGAAACCATTCACTTGCAGCCATTGCTCGGCTTGTTTCGCTAGAAAAGGAGATTTAAAACAACACATGCGAACACATACTGGTGAGAAACCATTCACTTGCAGCCATTGCTCGGCTTGTTTCGCTAGAAAAGGAGATTTAAAACAACACTTGCGAACACATACTGGTGAGAAACCATTCACTTGCAGCCATTGCTCGGACTGCTTCGCTCTAAACGCAAATTTAATACGGCACATGCGAACACATACCAGTGAGAAACCATTCAGATGCAGCCAATGCTCGGTCTGTTTCCCTCGAAAAGGAACGTTATTAAATCACATGCGAACACATACCGGTGAGAAACCATTCAGATGCAGCCATTGCTCGGTCTGCTTCACTGAAAAAGGAACTTTAAAACGGCACATGCGAACACATACCGGTGAGAAGCCATTTACTTGCAGCCATTGCTCGGCTTCTTTCGCTCTAAAAGGAAATTTAATAAAACACATGCGAACACATACTGGTGGCAAACCATTTATTTGCAGCCATTGCTCGGCTTGTTTCGCTCTAAAAGAAAATTTAATACCACACATGCGAACACATACCGGTGAGAAACCATTTACTTGCAGCCATTGCTCGGTCTGCTTCACTCGAAAAGGAAATTTAATACGACACCTGCGAACACATACTGTTGAGGAACCATTAATTACTTGTAGCTATCGCCCTGCACGTTTTGCTGAGTGAGGTAGTTTAAAACGACACATGTGAACAAACTCTGGAGAGAGCCCATTTACTTGCATTGATTGCTCGGCCGGTTTTGCTCAAAAATAATATATAATTCAGCATGTGAGCACGTTCTGGTTAGAAATCATTTTGTTGCAGCCATTGCTCAGTGTGTTTCGCTGAAATAGGAAATTTAATTTAACACATACGAACAAGTACGAGTAACAATTTTTTTAGTTACAGCCGTTGCTCGGCTTTCTTTGCTCAAAAAGGTAATTTTATATAATACATATGAACACATGTGATTCTGAAACTGAACAGGTGTACGTATTTTTCTGCCTATTTTTATCACAGGAGTCGTTTAAAGTTTCCTGTCTGAACGCATAGCGGTGAGAAACTTTTCTGCTGCAGTCTTTGATTCGTTCCCTTTATTGTAACTGGTCTTTGACTAAACATATGAATAAGAACACTTATTTTCGAGCGACCTTGTGGCTGTTGTTAATTCCATGCACCTTTTCTTTATAAAACTCATCTGAAGTAAGATGTGAAAACGCTTTTTAGGGACAAATCCCTCACTCAAGGTCATTACAAGTCGTCCGCCCTCACAAAAGTCATTTAATGATTCACTTGTAAACTCATACGGGCTGGAAAACATTTCGTGGTAATTTTTTCCTGTTTCTATTGTAAATTAGACACCCTCGATGAGGACTTCATCGGAAGGCAGCGCTGTGCTGAATATGTTAGTACTTACTCTGGAAGGGGGGGGGGGTAAAAATGAATCCACTCCTACCTTATTTGGTAGTTACACTCTTTAAAAATTGAGTCTCCTGCAAATGAATGAGACTGGAGTTCTTGCATTTGTCAGGAATATGCGGTTAATGTACGCAGTTTACTACAAAATTTCGCCAAAAACACGATGGTGCCACTAATATTCTGAGAGGAAAATGAGCTTGATCTCGAAAAATGCTTTCTTAGTTCCGGCGGTCATAGAGGACATATCCTACGCTATACTTTGAGAGTCCACCTTTATATCTCATAGTCAAACTCGTCATGCACAGATCGGGAGAAAATCATTAGCTGGGTGCCCCTGTTTTCAACTTCGAAGTCCTCAAACAAAGTAGCTACCCTCCGACTGTATGTGGACTCTCTAAGTAGCGTAGGATATCCCCTCCATCACGGTCGGATCTTTGACAGCATTTTTCGAGCTTGAAAGAAAATTAGTGGCACCATCGTGTTTCCAGAGAAATTGGCCGTATGAAGAAGTGCTTGAATCGCAAATCTTTGACAAATGCAAGAACTCGATTGCCGGAAGGAAATCATGGTTCATCCTCATTCTCTATTCAAGGTGGAGACAAAGTTCTTTTTCCCCTGTGGACTCTTGAAGAGCGTCCTCAGTTGGTTTCCTGCTTGATCTCGGCTAGTACCGTTTGAACAGCGAATCTAAAAGACTAGACTTTATGGTTGTTATGAAATTCATCCCACCGTAATAAGATCTTTGCTTCACAGAAAAGAGGATCGGTGGCTGCGGCTAAATGTCAGCGTCTTCTTCTCGAAATAATTTGAACGTCGAATTTCCTCGGAGAAACACTGCGGTCCGTTTCTTGAGATCAATGGACAAAGCGATAGATAAAGAAAAACTGGCGCGATGCTTCGTCTTCTTTGTCTACTATCCTTTTGTCTATGAATTTCAACAACCAACCCTTTAGTTCCAAAGAGTGTAAATTGATAATCATCTCTTTGATATTTGTCAATAGGAAGGCCTTAGTGTGTTATTAATAAGCGTCCTCTCGAATCCTAATCGCTTAGAGCCTACTTTAACGAATTAAATTCAGGAAAAAGATTATAATTGATCCGAAATTTTTCCCTTTGAATTATTTAGACTCTGTTGTTTGGATAATTCTTGCAAAGCTCTGGACATTCGAATAACGCTTTAGCTGTTCCTCTTTTTGACATTTTCTCTTTGCTATCATTTCTGTATGCTTTTTAATTTCCTGTAAAAATATTTGTCAAGCACGTACACTACTAATAAAGTGTTGAAAGAAATTGATTGTTACAATGTATGACATGTTCCCGCTCAAAGCAACTTTTTGGAACCACTTCTTCCCCTTTAAGACGGGCTCTTCAGGCAGTAGTTGCCTACTGCTCAGCGTCGCCTCTTTAGTTGTAATATTTCCTCTAATAATTATACGATTATTTTTCTAGTCATTCCTATGCACCTAGCAAGTAACATGTTCCCAACTCAGGACATAAGAAGCGGGATAATTGAGGAATTTCGAGAAAATTGCATTAAATTGGGCGTGCTTGTGAAATTAACTTTCACCAGCAAACTATACTGACCAGGCGCGTAATAATTCATGTCCCCTCACGACTATGAGAACACAAGATGACATCTGAAGTTAAGGCAGCATCACCTAAATTCTAGGTTATCAGTTTCAACAGGGATTATAGCTCAATATTGACCGAACAAATCGAACAAATCCCGCGAATGATGATTTGATGTCAGCTACGAATGCTACCTCATGAATGAGGCTTATGTATGATCCTGGAATTACTCAATTAAAAGCGTTACCTACGCACGTAACTTTTAGCGAGGAACGCGCTTCTGAGCTTAAAATAGCTCGAAACAGCCTCTTTGATTGACAAAAAAGATCTAACAGTTGTGGTGATAAGATTAACGTTTCTCATTGGCTTTCTCCTTATGAGGTCAAAATACGTATGGAAAAATTTTTTCAACCACCTGTAACCACCTTTTAAGTGCTCAGCCGATAGGCAACGCTTTTTGATTTCGACTTGCCTCTAGAGGACTAGTATACTAGTGCTAATTCGTTTAAATGTCGCACCAGCTCATCGATGTGTAGGCTTGGGGGGGGGGGGGGGGGGCNTCGATCGTTTGTCTATAAGAAAATTCCTTAGAGGTAGAGTAATTCTTATCGAAATTGATCGTTGAAGTTGAGACACGCCTGATAAAACTCGCCTGATGAGCTCAACGGTGGCTTGCATTTTCGTGAAACGAAAAAACGCGTTTACATAGACAATATTGCGCTCCTTTCATTACTTTACTAATGTTGAATATTGTTCCCAAGTTCGGGTGTGTACGGCGTGTAGTATCACAAGCACCTTGTGTCAGTGTCACTCTCATTGGTTTTCGTTGTGTACGGTGTGTAGTATCACAAGCACCTTGCGTCAGTGTCACTCTCATTGGTTTTCAGCGGTATATCAAATCTGAAGATTAATTTACGTTGACACAACTCATTGCCAGTTAGTGTCTCTCTTCATCTGTGACTTCCTCTGTGAAAGTTCCATTCCTTGGTTTCCTTGGTAACCTCTGTTTGCTATCAGCTGATGTTTTATTTCCATTTCCCAGCCAAGTCGACGGAGTTTATACTTCCTTTCTTCACTAAATACATAGACTAAAACCTGAGCGCTTTTCTAATACGACAGTATTAGAACTTTCCCGCTTGTTTTTTCATCTCATGTATAATGGCGGATGTACGACCGGAATGTATTTAAACAATTGGATTGCATTTTGCAAAAAGGAACCAATAGCATTGCCATGATGCTAAGATTGTGCAACTTCATCTTTTGCAATAAAATTGCGAAAATCGTGGAAAACTATGAAATTTAGATGGTAATTTTTGTCTTAAATTTACAG